TGGTAAAACTAAACACACCGAAATGTAGTTAGCTCACACCAAATCTATGTTTCTCTAAGCTCTATTTCACCTATAAATAATCAGTAATAAGATCCCTGTAAAATGCTGGTCAAATGCTCCACTGCACACACAGTACACGCACTCCTGGATACAATAATATTAAAACCAAATCCCTACGGACGATAGGGTTGACAAAGCGCCCGTTACGGTTTCTGCGCGCGGAGGTAAGCCTGCAGTGAATCTCAGGGCAGTTTGCGGTTGCGATTTCAGAGACTAGAATTTCCAAACTGAGATTTATTCTAAACTAATGAATACTTTCTCCGTATTTGAACTTATACTATGTTATCATCACATACTCCTGTATTGATACTAAATATAACCTGTTACAAACATCGAAAGTGACTGCGAGTACGGCGAAATACGACGCGGCCAATTTTCTGTAACGCCTGCTGACAGTAACTTCGGTTCTGAAGAGACGCGTATATCACACTCGACCGAATTGGAGAGGGGCGCTGCATTGTTGCACACCCGATGCTGCCGCATTGCGCATTGGGAAGCCGAAGCGTCACAAGGTCAACCAGAAATGGCGGCTCGAAAACATCCGCCGTCTCGTCAGCCACTCAGGATGATGGAGAAGAGTACGAGGCACGTGTCGCTCGGAATTGTTGTAACGCAGCTAGGTTATAATTAGTTAATATCAGAGTAATTATTGATAGCATAGTAAGTCTTCAAAGCTAGCAGCTGGGAGCGAAAGGGTCTCGTCGGTTGAGAAATAATACCCAGTTGACAGTTCTTAGCTCTCTGACTAAGAACGCAACAGTCCAACGCCCTGAGTTGATTCAGCTCAGGGTTCCCTTGAATGTTCCCTGCCACAAAAAACCATAGCGACTCTTTGTACCTAACCTCCCCTGTTGCGCGTTAATATTCGTATCTAACTGAGCAACTCTAAGCTGGAGTGCTAAGCTTAGATAGTGTTAAGGCTGTTTCGCGCTGATCTGTCATTGTGCACCCTGGACAACATACAATATATGACTATGCCTAATCTTGAATTGGCGATTTCAAGCTATAGCCACTACAAATTTTTGAAACGTTTAGTTCGACATGTTCAAAGCGTTTATCCCGTTGCCGGTATGCGCGATTGTTCCGCTCCGGCACACGTTCCGTGTTAAGGTAGACCATCGCGCTATGTAAAATTATACACACTGGGCAGGTTAAGTAGCCAATGGTTTTTCTGGTCACGTACATGGCTATAGCTGATAGGGAAAGTGCAACAGTTTTTGGTTGGCTGGAGATTATAGCTAGGTATGCCGGCTGTGGCTAATATGCCCGGCAGTCCGCCCCCCGCCCGCACGGTCATTCGATTTTCTAATGCGGCAGTTCCCCTAACCTAATCCTAACCTAATCGAGGTCAAACAGAGGTCAAGGGGACATAGACCTTATCTGCTATACTATACTATACTATACTTATACCTATCACCCGGTATAAATATTCTAACAATTAATGCACGATGTATGTGAGCGAACGCCGCCATCATCATGTCATGTCATGCATATCAGTGTGGGAATATGCAATAAAGAAATAGCTACAAGACGACTGTGCACAATTGCTACGAAAAAATAACAAAATTTGATTTTTGCATCAATTTAAACAAAAAAGAATTGGGTCTGACTATATCGGATGGGCTGCTATGCAACGCCTATTCACAGGCGCGAACCCACTACTGCTCGGCACGGGAGCTTTTGGCTGCTGCGTTTCCGCCCTGACCCGGTACACTCCTCCTTAGACAACCTGGTTGCCCTGGGCTCCCCCGAGACAACCATATCGATGCGGAGCTTAGTGCGGACACCCGATCAACATAGTCCGCTACACAGCAGTGCTCCCACCCTCAAGCCATCCACCAACCCATGCCTCCTCGCAGCTGGATTACAGGTGCACGCCACAACACCCGGCGAAATCATAACATGCTATTCGGGTATTAGAGGCAGAGGTAATGGATATTTATAATTTATTATAGCTATTATATATATGTGTATCTTTAGCTGTGTTATGGGTACCACAAGAGTTCCAAAATTGATTTCAAACTCTCAAGTTGCGTTTCTATACACAATTAAGACGAAATGTACATTGTATTTAATGGTCACTTCCGCTATTGCACATTGGCGCCATCTACTGGCCCACCATATTCAAAACCGTAAATAAAACCCTGTTTGTATAATATCTATGATAAAATAAATTCTGTAATATTATATAATATCAGCGGTGAATAATGACAACTTAGAGCGTGACTGGACGCAAGACAAGACGCTAACCAAAACAAAACGATGCTAAGGAGATGTAGAAGTTTTGTTGGAGCAGTTGGAAACGGCAATAAAATGTCTACATAAAATTTTAGGTAAAAACAGCTGAACTGAAACTCATACATAAACAGAAGGGAAACATCAATGTAATGGCTCTGATCATACATACAAATAAACATCTATATTTGCAATTACATCGCAAGCTCTTTTATTGGTATACACATTTTTGTAACTAAAGTGGTTCAATCAATAATCAGAGCAGCAATTTTTTGTCTGCAAAACATAACTTCGAGTTACCTTTCAACATTAACAATCCGTATGTTTTTGCACCCGGAATTGCTTCTCTGCAAGAGCTCATCTCTAAACAAAACTATTCTCTGTTTGCAACGTGGCTTTTTACTAAACTTGTTGCATGATCCATATGTCGAGTTTCTAATGTAATAACGAATACATTTTGATCAAAAATCATACAATTTAATTAGGGTGTAATTACACTGTTCCAACTGTAACAGTAAATTCACACTATAGACCTCACACATATCACAGCTTTGCATAACAAATCCTTTGACTCTACCACGCATTCATTAGGTCCAAGTGCACAATAATTAGACGCACACCGAGTGATAGTCGACACACAATTTACCCCACAATTCCACGAGTGCACAAAGGTTCCTATGAATACAATTCAAATTTGAAATTAGAAATTCGTCCTCTAAACACCACCTGGCACGTTGGCCTGAGGTTTGACCCGTTTTCTCCATTTCAACTTGCAGATGACTTACTTGATTTCCCTCCTACACTACTTGCTAGTTGAACACAATAGCTGATATAATATTAATAATATTAGTTCTAAATAGTATATAGATGAATTGTTGAAAGAAACATTTCAGATTTATGTCACATATCGACATTGACAATTGTGACACATACTTCAGACCAACATATTATATCTTGCGAGATAATATCAAGAGCTAATAATACCTAAAATAATGGGTATTATTAGCTCTTGATAATATATATATAGCCAGAAAGAAAGATATATATGTGTGTGTGTATTATACATCAGTCAACAGAAAATTCCCGGATTAAAGGTGATCACCAAGTGAAAACCCAGGTGCTTCTTGAACATTGAACATCCTATGATTATATTGTGGATGCACGATTTTACAGGATGGGCCAGCACAGATCAAAAGCTGGATAAGTCTATCATTTAACATTGCCAGAAGCTTCTTGTCTATAGTTGCCACGATATTGTTCAGCTGGTCAGGATCAGCTGCAAGGTCGTAAACTTCGACAAAATTCTGAAAAGGGTAAAACGATCCTTGTTAGGATGGACGAGTATAATGATGAGAAGTATACAGGTGTTGATAAAGGCATGACATAGATAATGATGGAGATAAGTACAGATGATGTGAACAATAATAGACTATGTACTACATGAAGAGAAAAGGGGTTAAAAAGATGAAATGGAGAGGAAGAGAGGGTAGTAAATCGAGAGAATGAGTTTAACAATATAACTGTGGAAGTTAAATTCTTCGAAAGCATTCAGAAACCACAAAAACAGTTTTCCATTAACTCTAACTAAGAAAAACAAAACAAGATCTGAGAAGGTATCTGAAGGAAATTGGTAACAGGGGATACAGCAGGGGTAGAAATTAACTTTTGACAGTTGAACAAGGGAGTCCAACGGAGTGAGCAGCAAAATGAGGGAGTCCGCAGTCTGAGGTTCAAAATTAAAGCAATAACGCATGTGCTTATTTTTAAGATTCATGCAGTTGCACGTCTGCCAAATTTTCTTTGGACATAAGCTAAAAAAATACAGTAATTCCGCGAGGCCGTGCTCCGGACTGAACTAGTTAGTATGGCAGAATTTTCAGGGAGTCACACGGACTCCTGCATATGACAAATCAGGGAGTCCGACAGTAAATCAGGTAGTATTTGACTCCGGACTCCCGTTAATTTCTCACCCTGTACAGTAGTAGAGTAGGAGATGGGGGAATGGAATAGAAACAGAATGAAAAGGTGAGAGAAAGGGAGTGAGAGATGGAGAGAGAGAGAGGGTGAGAGAGAGAGAGAGAGAG